GTCAACACTCCATCAGAAGAGTCTGAAGAACTTGTAAACGTACTGAATTCACTCAACATTTATTTCCTGAGTGAGTCCTATATGTCATGTATTAGAGACACAAGATCCTTTAAGGTTTTACTTTATACTAAGGAGTTACCTTATGCTAAGGATCACTCACCTAGAGCCAGATATCTTGGAATGTGATATCTTTCAAGTGGGCCTTAGAAAGCATCACTACGAACAAAGCTAGTGGAGGTGATAGAATTTCAGTTGAGCTATTCCAAATCCTGAAAGACGATGCTGTGAAAGTGCTGCACTCAATATGCCAGCAAATGTGGAAAACCCAGCAGTGGTCACAGGACTGGAAAAGATGAGTTTTCATTCCAATCCCAAAGAAAGGCAATCCCAAAGAATGCTCAAACTATCGCACAATTGCACTCATCTCACATGCTAGTAAAGCAATGCTCAGAATTCTCCAAGTCATGCTTCAACAGTATGTGAACCGTGAACTTCCAGATGTTCCAGCTGGATTTAGGAAAGGCAGAGGAATCAGAGATCAAATTGCCAACATCTGCTGGATCATCGAAAAAGCAAGGGAGTTTCAGAAAAACATCTATTTCTGCTTTATTGACTATGCCAAAGTCTTTGACTGTGTGGATCACAACAAACTGGAAAATTCTGAAAGAGATGGGCATACCAGACCACCTGAGAAACCTATATGCAATCAGGAAGCAACAATTAGAACTGGACATGGACCAATAGACTGGTTCCAAATAGGAAAAGGAGTATATCAAGGCTGTATACTGTCACCCTGCTTATTTAACTTATATGCAGAGTACATTATGAGAAACACTGGGCTGGAATAAGCACAAGCTGGAATCAAGATTGCTGGGAGAAATACCAATAACCTCAGATATGCAGTTGATACCACCCTTATGGCAGAAAGTGAAGAGGAACTAAAAAGCCTCTTGGTGAAAGTGAAAGAGGAGAGTGAAAAAGTTGGCTTAAGGCTCAACATTCAGAAAACTAAGATCATGGCATCTGGTCCCATCGTTTCACGGCATATAGACGGGGAAACAGTGTCAGACTATTTTTTTGGGTTCCCAAATCACTGCAGATGGTGACTGCAGCCATGAAATTAAAAGGTGCTTACTCCTTGGAAGGAAAGTTATGACCAACCTAGATAGCATATTAAAAAGCAGAAACATTACTTTGCCAACAAAGGTCGGTCTAGTCAAGGCTTTGGTTTTTCCAGTGGTCATGTATGGATGTGAGAGTTGGACTGTGAAGAAAGCTGAATGCCGAAAAATTGATGCTTTTGAACTGTGGTGTTGGAGAAGACTCTTGAGAGTCCCTTGGACTGCAAGGAGATCCAACCAGTCCATCCTAAAGGAGATCAGTCCTGGGTGTTCACTGGAAGGACTGATGCTGAAGCTGAAACTCCAATACTTTGGCCACTTCATGCGAAGAGTTGATTCATTGGAAAAGACCCTGATGCTGGGAGGGACTGGGGACAGGAGAAGAAGGGGACGACAGAGGATGAGATGGCTGGATGGCATCACTGACTCGATGGACATGGGTTTAGGTGGACTCTGGGAGTTGGTGATGGACAAGGAGGCCTGGCATGCTGCAATTCATGGGGTCGCAGAGTTGGACACGACTGAGTGACTGAACTGAAGGAGTCACCAATGAAAATGTGAACAAGTCAGAAAGGTAAATTCAGTTTGATAAATGCTGTCACGTAACCAAGAAGGGTGTGTGGACTGGCTTCTGGGCTACAGGGTGGCCCTTTCAAAGAAGGAGACGGCAAAGGCTTCTCAGAAAGGTGCCTGGGTGTGCTGAGAGCAAGGTGCTGAGGGGCAGGCAGGCGACTGCAGACAGGCCTTCCGAGGAGGAGGAGGGAAGGCCAGGGACATGGAGAGAGACTGGGCTGGCCTGTTTGAGGAACAGAAAAGAGACCAGTCTGGCTGGAACGCAGAATGAGAAAGGTGATCAAAGAAAAATAGATTTATGGATAATTTTAGAGCTAAAATCAAAATGACTTCCAAGGGGTTGGGTGTGGTGAAGATCACCTCGGACCTTCCAATGGTCCCAGGACTAAAGTGTGAGGATGCAGTAAGTATATTTGTCTTTCATTCTATGACTGTTTTTAGCCATTTAGACATTGTGAATTCTATAACTGTATTTTCCTCAGCTTTGGCCACTAGAAACGTCAAAGCATAATCTGAAGACCAATTTTTCCAACCTTTCAAAATAACATGCACCTTTTTGTATATTAATCAATTTTAGTCTTAGGATTTTTGTAATTTTCTACCCTAATACTTTCTGTATCAATTAACTTTTATTCTGTTAGATGAACATTAACTTACAGTAAGTTACCATATGATCTGATGAGGGAAAGTAGTAAAAATACAAATTTCTCATCATAGTTTGTATTAATTGTGCTTTAATTAAAACATAACAAAAGTGACAGAATGAAATTTCTATGGAAAAATGGCAAGGGAAGAATGGGTGGAAGAAAAAAACCCAAGATTCTGAATGAAAACCGAAGGGGAGGCTCAAAGAGAGGGAGAGGCAGGTTTCCGGAACCAGAGTGCCCGCATTCCCCCGGGTTCCCTGCCCGCTGTCCTCATTCATGACACGGTGACGAGCAGAACAGCAGCCGCCTCACAGGGCTGCTGGTGAGGCGTACCCTAGCCAAACTCTGTAATATGCTCACGACGTACTCGGCCAGCAGTGGGCGCACTGCGAGTGCTTGCTGAAGTAAGTTGGGGTGTGCAGACAAGCAGGATTTCAACAGGTGAGAGGCAGAGAGAGGACTGCAGATGCAGGAACAATGTGCACAAAGGACTGGAAGTGGGGAGCACACACTTCAACCCAGTGGTGGGGCTAGGTGCCAAACACGGCAATGCAATGAATAAAGACCAATCGGGAGACAGGTCTTAAGAGCGATACAGAAGGGCACTGTATGCCTCTTAGAGGAGCATGAATTTAATCCTGTTTAACAAGAGTGTCTGGAAGATGCGGTGCCATGGAAGCCCTCACCTCACACGAGGGAGGAAGCAGCGTCCAGAAGGTGTTCAGTCAGCACAGCCAGCCATGACCCCACACACTAAACCAAGGGCTCTGACTGTGAACTCAGCAGCAATTCTATCCAAGAATATCAACCACCAAGGCAACGGAAAAGCTTTAAACAGTAAGCAATGTATATGTTGTCATCAAGAATAATTTTTCATCTGGGTGGATGGAGGGGTTTCTCTAGACATTATACTCCCCAAACAGAAAGTTTCTGCCTTCCTGCCTGTTCATAAGGTAACATTTTCTACTTAACTGAAAACATGACAATCAGATTAGAAATTATCTTCAGTAAGAATGACCGGTCTGATTCGGGGACAGAGCATCCCCTAAACCGAAGACCCTGCCGAAGCTCTGTGTTCTCCATCCAAGGGGTAAAATGGGCCTTGGCAGGTGTGACACTCCAGGTGGGCTCTAAATACAGGCACACGCTCCCCTGCATGAGGTGGGCCAATGGCGCTGAGCAAGACAAGGGGAAGAATGAGAGGGAGCAGATATGGCCTCAAGGCAAGGACAGCCCACAGGCCCAGAAGCTGGAAGGGTCAAGAAAAGGATTCCTGCTACCACCTCCAGGGGGAGAGCTGTCAACACCCAGGCTGTGCCCTCTTTAGACTGCAGACATCTAGTCTCCAGAGCTGTGACCAAATTCTATTGCTTAAAGCCACCAAATTGGTAGTAATTCACTGCAACAGCCACAGGAAACTAATATAGCAAATATGTAATTTTTTACGATTTCAAGTAAATTATTTAACATTAGGAGAAATGGAAATGAAAGAAATTTACCATTTACTGAACAGCTACATAAATTATCTCATTAAATCATCTGCAGCAATCCTATTATTATTAGCCTGTTTTATAGAGAAAACCCACCTGGAGCCATGCCCAGGTCTGTGTTTATTTTAGACTGCAATAACACCTGTCTGTAACTGCTCTGACAGTGTGCTGATCCGCAACACCCACCAGGGGAGCTGACTTGTTATTCCTCCAAATGCACTAGGTTATATGAAATAAGTCTATTTAAAATTACTTTATGCAAAACTACCTGAAAAAATACATGTAGTCACTAGTAAAAAAAAAAAATCTGTGTGACTAAAGGGCAAAAATTCAAAAATTAAAAATAATTCTAAAATAGGTTTGAGAGTCGTATCTCAATCTACAGTTTTCTTCAATTGACTTATAATTCATTAAAACATTTTTCACATTTAAAAGGGTCATGAATCATTAGTTCGAGACAAAAATAAAATTTCAATGTGCCTGGACAAGATCCGGAGTATCAGATAACACAGAGGATCTACATGAAATAAAGAGAACAGGCATGGGGACATTTACCTGGTACCTGACACTGCTCACCACTGGAGACGTGGCACTGAACTAGCTTGACACCATCTGCACTCAAAAGGAAACACAAGCTTCTACAATGTCCATTTGTGCATCAAAGCTATCGCTTACATTTTAAAGAATTGAGGGATTAATAACATGAGAGTGATTAAATAAACTTATCTACATTCATTAACTAGTAAGTGTTACAGGTCATATTTAAGCCCAGGAATGTGCACGCTCAGTTGTGTCTGACTCTTTGTGACCCCACAGACTTTGGCCCACCAGGTTCCTATGTTCATGGGAATTTTCCAATGTTTCTATGTTTTCCAATTTTTCCCAGGTTCATGGGATTTCTTCCACTGCAGTGGGTTGCCATTTCCTCCATCCAGGGATCTTCCTGATCCAGGGATTGAACTCATGTCTCCTGCCACCAAGGAAACCCAAGAATACTGCAGTCCAAATGAATACTCTTAATATGATACCATATTGCCTGAAAGCATTCCCATAGGCTTTGTATCAACACACTGGTAGACCTGCTTACCTGTTAATAAAGGAAACAGGAAAACTGTCGCCATGACACCCCATTCTAACAACAACAAGGCAAGTCAATTAATCACACCTACCTGGTTATTGCTGGGGTTGGTACACCTCTTGTACGTAAGGTAGGTTTCCCTCGAACCACTGGGACATCGGCATTTTCGGAACCACCATTCAAATATGTTAATTCCTGGAGCTGGGCCTGCCTGATTTCATCATTATAGTCCTACAGAAGAAAGCAAAGCATTTAGGACAAGAAATAAACAATTTTTAATAGAAAAGTGTATGAAAAATAGTTAAAATACATAAAATAAGATTTGAGTCTATTGAAATGAAAAGATACCAATGAATCGTTGTAAAGAGAAAAAACCCAAACAGTATTTTTCCCCAAAACTAAAATTTTCTATGGTCAGTCATAACTCCTTCTCTTGGGCATACTTTCCAAGTGAATTATTTATAATAAAATTAAAATATCATGTAACTGATATATGGGCATTATTATTTACAACTCAATCAACTTGTAGTTACTAAGCATAAATGATGTACCAACGAACAAAACCCAGGGGAGCACGCATGGGTCCTGCAGCCAAGGACTCTCAGTCTGACAGGAGAAACGGGGAAGACAAAGAGGCAACACGGCAGCTCTTTGAAACTAAGGACAGCATGCACACATGCTCTTCGTACATATTCATTTGGATATTGTTCAAGTTGCAAAATTCGGCATTTCCAAAACTGAATACATCATCTTATTCTTGAAAACCTGCTCTTACGCTATTTTCAAAATATTCAACTCAGAAACTTTTGGAGTTATCCTTGATTTCTCTCCTTTCCTTAATAATGTCCCCAACTCCATTCAATAACTGTCAAGAAAGACATGCAATAAATACAAGTGTGGTCTGTTTTACAATCAAAAGAAAGTTCAGGTCTATATGATCAAAAAGGAAGGCCATCTAACTCAGCCATGGACAGTTAAGAGTAGATTCTCTACAAGAAATGTCATCTAAGGGTGAGTGAACCAGTTACTAGAAGAGATGCTGTAAAGTATTCTAGACAGAGGGAAAAGTATATTTTAAAACCAGAGTAAAAGTGTGTCCAGGGAACTGAAAGAAGTGCTATATGGCTAAACTACAAGAAGTCTGGAGTGGAGGAGTGGTCTTCAAAGTGGAAAGGAAAGCAGAAATCAAATCAAGTAAAGACTTAAGTCATTTTAAAGAGAACATCAAATGTCTGTCTGGAAATTATGGTACTAAAAAGTATTTAAGAAAGTGAGCTGCATATTCAGGTTTATATTTTGAAACTGCTATGAACAACCGTGTGCCCACAAGTTAGATAACTTAGATGACATGGACAAATGCCAAAAAAGACACAAGCCATCAAAACTGACAGAGAAGAAACAGAAAACATGAACAGTTAGTAACAAGTAAAAACACTAAATTAGTACTAAAAAAAAAAAAGTCCTGCAACGAAAAGCCCAAGTCTGCAGGGCTTCACTGGAGAATTCCACAAACAATTAAAAAAGAATTAATGTGATTCTTCACAAACTTCCAAAAACTAAAAAGAAGGAGACATCTCCTTACTGATTCCATGAAGTAAGTATTGTTGCCCTCATACCAAAACCAAAGACATTACAAGAAATCTGCAAAAGAGTGTTCTTAGGAATATAGATGCAACAGCTCTTGAAAAAGTGTTAAGAAGTCAAATCCACCAGCATGAACAAAAAACAAAGGAAATATACACAAGAACTGAGCAGAACTTATACCAGGATTGAAAGCTTGGTTTAACCCATGTGAAAATCAATTAACATAATACCATAATAATAGAATAAAAGACAAAAATCACATAGTAATTTTAATACACCGAGAAAAAATTTGACAGACGAATCCAACATACTTTCATTATAGAAATATCCAACAAACTAAGAAAACCCATAGCTAATACCATATTTAATGGTAAAAGACTGAAAGTGTCAGCCTAATTCCAGGAACAAGACAGGATATATACTTCTGCCATTTTTGATTAATGGTATTCAGATTGGAAGAGAAGAAACAAAATAATCTGTTTACAGATGGCATAATCCTATATACAGAAAATCACAAAGAATCCACAAAAACATTATTAGAGCCAATAAAAGAGTTTAGTATAGTTGCAAGATACAAGATTAATATACAAAAATCAGTTGTATTTCTTTATACTAACAATGAGCATTTTAAGAATAAAAAAAAAGATTCCATTTAGAGTAGCATCATAAAGAATAGCATACTTAGAAGTAAATTAACAAAATAAAGGTAAGATCTGTACACTGAAAAGTACAAAGTAATATTAGAATATATTTTAAAAACTCTAAGTAAAAGGAATGATATCCCATGTTCATGGATAGGAGGACCTAACATTGTTTTTATGACAATAACTCCCCCTACACACGCACAAATGATCTCCAGACTCAAGGAAATCCCTATTAAAATACCAGCTGGCCTCTTGCAGCAATAGACAAGTTGATCCTAAAATTTACATGGAAATCCAAAGAATCTAGGCTAGCCAGAACTATCTAAAGGAAGAACAAAGTTGGAGGACTGTATGTTCCAATTTCAAAAATTACAGTAAAGCTATAGTACTCGAAGACAGTATGATACCAACTTAAATAATACATAAAGATCAATGAAATAAAAATGAGAGCAAAGATATCAAGTACAGTCAATTGATTCTCCAACAGTCTCCAACAAATGGTGCTGCAACAATTGAATAGCCACATCAGAAAAATAAGGTGGGCCCTCTACTTTTTGCCACAAAAACTACAAATGTTCTAACTTAGATTATGTTGATGGTTGCAATACTATGGAAGATACTAAAAACCACTGAATCATATATTTTATATGAGTAGATTTTCTGCTGTGTGATTTATATCTCAAAAAAGATAATAAAAGGGGGGAAAAAAAACAAACACTGGAGGCAGAAACATTAGGTGGAAGTAGTTAAGTAATCCCAGGAGGTGGTAAAGATGACCTGGAGTAGGGAGGGACATGGCAGGAAGGGTGGGAAGAGGTAGATATGGAGTTATTTATAATGCCTAATTTTATTAGACATGGTAAAATACTGATTACAGGGGTATAAGAGCAAAGTCAAGAATGTTGATTTTGTTTCTGGAAGACAAGAAGAGTAACAAATAAATTAATCAATTTGGACAGGTTGAGTCTGCAATGGTCTACAGTACATAAAAATTGAGATATTCTATAGCAATCAGATAGAGGAAATGAAAACTTAGAAGTCAAAGAGGGATACAGAAGTGAGCAAGGAAGAGTTACACAGGCCCCACACATTACAGAGTAGGGTGTGTCGTCAAGGCTGGCCCATGGTAGGCTTCTGGCAGAGAACCTCTGAATCTGTTGTGGGTTCTGCCTATCAAGACTGCTCCCATGTGCCTGAGGCCTGAGGTCAGGCTATACCCACTTGGCCAGATAAATCTGTGTCAGGAACGTGACCAATGGGGAATGTTTGTTGTGGCTCAGAAAGGGGGATTGCGGTGCTGGCCTCTGAGCATCTGTCAGGCCTCTGAGCATCTGTCTGCAGTGCACTGCACTGCACGCCTTTGTGACTGATCCGCAATAAAAACCCTGGACATAAGGTTCAGGCGAGCCTCCCTGGTTCGAACGAACAGCCCAGTGTCGTCACACGGTGCTGCTGGGAGAATCAATGAGTCCTGCCTAAGTCCACTGGGAAGGGACAGCAGGAAGCCTGGGCCTGGTTTCCTGACTTGCTCATTTTCTCTTTCCCGAGTGCTCCTGAAGAACAGCTGAGCCTGCAGTGGCTGTGGGGACCTTCCACGAGGATCCACCTGTAGAGAGACCAGCAGCAGGCAGGGCGTGTGGGAACCGTCACAGGTTGAGGGAAGGGCTGCGGACTTGGCTCGGAACACCCACACGCAGACGGGAAGGTGTGCACAGACCAGAGGAGGGACAGGCAGGTGGCCAGGCCACAAACGCCACAGCAAGTCAGAGCTGCAGTCACATCAAGGAAGCCAGGCACCGACTCTGCAGGATTCACCAACTACAAAGGCAGCACTGACTTCACAATCATTTTGGTGAACAGTGAGCGAGCTAGAATTCATTCAGGTAGAATGAAGAAAGAATGAGAACAAGTCCCAGATACACTAAAGGAGCCAGCTTCTCCCAGCTGTTTGGCTACAAAGAGGAAGAGAGAAGGACTACAGTCTGAAGAAGGAAGGATTTGATGATAGAAGAAACAAAGCAAATGTGAGTATGAATAAAAGACCCAGATGAGACAGTATCCTGAATTATTTAGAATTAAAATATAAAATGCTGAAGCTGAAGCTCCAATACTTTGGCCACCTGATGTGAAGAGTTGACTCACTGGAAAAGACCCTGATGCTGGGAAAGAGTGAAGCCAGAAAGAGAAGGGGACGACAGAGAATGAGATGGTTGGATGACATCACCAACTCAATGGACATGAGTTTGAGCAAGTTCCGGGAGATGATGAAGGACAGGGAACCCTAGCATGTCCATGGGGTCACAAAGAGTTGGACATGACTGAGTGACTAAAAAACAAATGCTCTATTCCTTACTTTTCAAAAGTAGAGTGCAAAGAATAACTTGTAGGAGAAAGCATTGTGAAGTAAGAAAAATAACATGGACACCAATCAAAAATGAAGTTGATATCATAACCAGCTAACACCTGCAGAGGAAGAGGAAGAGAGGTAAATGAAGAAAAATTCAAGTCATTACCATTAGCAAGAAAGGCTAAGGTCTGAGTCTAGATTTTATTGCAAATACAGATTCTCTAACTTATCTGGGCTATCATGACCTCAGAAGTCATGTGAATCTACAGTAAAATAAGCCCATCAACCTATTCCTTGCCATTTTACTAAAAATGTGTGATTAATAGATTATTTGTAAAGCACATTCTAAATAAAATGTGCTATGTAAATGCTAAGTACTAGCCCTATTGAAAAGTGTTAGAAAGCAGGACACAAAATTTTATGTGGTTAAAAACAGATTCAGGGGAAAAGAACATAACGGAGGCCCCATTAGAAATACAATAAAAAAAAAAATAAGCAAAAGCTTTGCTCTGAGTAAAGTTAGGTAATTTACAATGGTGCCACAAAAAGTAGAATTAAAAGCTTATTTTAAACATCTGTATGAAAGTAAATTTTAAAGTAGACAATGTAGTTAGGAGGGAAATACAAACAAAAAAATGGAATCTAAGTCAACCACA